TATTCCGTGCTTGCATCAGATTCGTGCAATTAAACGGGGAACGGAATTTTTAAGGATCTCCAAGTGGAATTGTTTTATTCCGATCGTAGATATTTTGGAATTTATGTCGTTCTCATACATATGAAAACCTTCATTAGTGACTTGCTTTAATGATTTTTGGAAATGGAGGTTGTACCTTTATTCTGTTACGCTTCCGACTGCATAATTCATTACACGGACTAATTGCTGGCTGGAGTTTTTGCAGTCACTTTCTAGGAAGGAGACGCTTTCATTTGCAGTCGAGAAGTGTGTGGTACACGTGGCACGTATTATTTTTTTCTCGAAGAACCAGTCATTCTTTCTGTGGACTCGGACACCAATACAATATATTCTGCAAGATCTTTGTCCTTGACATATAAGATAATATATAAGATAATATACGATTATTACCAAATTTTCATGATGAGGAACGCAGTTAATAACTTTTTTAAGCCAGACGAGGACACGAGACGTTTTATTGCGTATACGCAACGTCATTCGGGTCAGGTTACTATAATCAGTTAGTTTATTGACTTCTTATCGAATGTTAGACTCAGATGGCCGACGTTAAAACATCTCAGTCAAGGCCGCCACGTTCAAATTATACTCGGAGCCTTTCACCGGGATTTTTATTGTGCACCATAGCCAGAAACGAAAGCCAGAAATTTAAAAATCTGGGAATTAGAATATTTTTAAATCCAAATCGAATAACAGATCAATGCGAAATTGTTATTCTATTTTGACAAATACCAAATGCTTTAAATACTTGAATTTTAGTTCTCCATATTCAATGGTCCGTTATACGTAAAACGTGCATTGCATCATTCAAGTCTACTGTAGATAATTCCAGATAACCGACAGAATTTATGTAAATGAAGGCAACTTTTGAATATTAAGTTGTTTAAGTGTGATGTAATACTGCAGACGTATTGAAAGGTGGAGAATTTCACGAATGTGAAACTTTCAATATTACTGAACTTGCAAAACAACGGTGTAATATTTCCCAAAGGTGAATAGTTTATTGGATACGAGGAACAAAAGACTAAACAGATTTGTACTGGTGTATTATACTTATAATGAAGAAGGTACAAACTTGTACAAGATGCACACGATCCAAGAACACATATAAAGTATTAAAAGTGTAATGTTTCTCGTGACATTGATTAGGAAAAATGATTTTTCACAGTAATTCTTGACAATATGGATTTCTTGACTAAACAGACTAGATGTCTAAGCTATGGGATGAATCATAGCTAAAAATTCGAGAATCTGCGCATACTTTATGTACAATCCATCATAATGATGGAAAGTGATTCATTTTTTATTAGCGGGGAGTAGGAGCCAGGTAGTGCCTCTAGCTCACGATAGAACTGGTTAACCACCCGTTTGTCTTCTCCTTCGGCTTAATCGTGACCAGCCAGGTGATTTATGATTTCCACTTCTCCTCAGCAAATACAGTTGTGTTGGCAGAACGCGGCAAAGCGTGTGAAGCAATTAAGCGTTGAAATTGAGAAAACCGGGAAAAGGAAAAAAATTGGGCAGCGCCCGTTACGAAAACCGATGAGATTATGACAGTATTGCGTGACCGACAGGTAGCACATAGAAAATAGTTCCGACGCGCGAACCATTTCGACGTGGAAACTGACGCCTCCGTACAGGGAAAATTTTTACCAATACTAAAGTCTGTTACACGTCATTTAGAACCATTGAATTGGTGAACAAGTGACGTTAGTTTTCGAATATTAAAATTGTTGATTTATTTAATTAACTATATAATACTCATTTTCTTTTATAATTCTATTCCTTTAGTAACTTTATGTATTTTAGACGTTTATACTAGCAAAGTCTATAATTTACGTTAATTCTTAAAATACCAAATTCTTTCTGAATTGAAGAATATTTTATTTTCTGAATTTTGAAGAATATTTTATTTATCACTTTATGAATATATATGTAACAGCACAAAGAGCATTCTTGAATATATGTATGTTCTGTCGAAATTCATACGCATTAGCAGTTTATCTTCTAGGGAAAGTTCGCCATGTGTGAAATTAGTTTCGGAACAATGATTCAAGTTAGAAGAAGTTATAAGGCAATAATTCAAAATCAGCCATGAGAATGATATCATAGTCTGACATGCATAGATTTAAAAATGAACACGAGCAACTCTCTTTTCATAACATTTGGAATATACGAAAAAATGTTTTCTGAATCAGATCAATTAATAAGAGTAAGAAATTTCTTTTTTGATAAAAAATTATTGATTGCGTTATTGAGCTGTAATTAAAACTATCTGTTAATACTTTAGTACCGTTTTATAATTAAAACGACCTGCATACTTTGTATTATTATCGCCATAGTTATTATTAGAACTAAAACTACTTTATGAGAGGTAATAATAAGAACATGAATACTTACTGATAAATAATAAATTGATATATTTCACATGAAACATATGATTTACTATATGTTAATTATAAAACAATCATGCAAGCGCTGTGTATTTTCACACTGGCAATCAAGTGTTAGAAGCATATACACTTTCTCCTTCGATAAATTGCTAGTAAAAGTCACCCGACACAATGCATCAAGATCTTAACAATGAGATTAGCACACAATTGTATAGACAGATCTGATCACACCTTCAAGGCTGCTATACTGGACGTAGACAAACCAACGTGCCGTGAAAAGGCTTTACGTCATGTTCCGTTTTCTGCCGTTAGAAGTAATTATTATATTACATATATTTTTAAAGATTTGATAAATTGATATATCAAACAGCATTTGCAAATCCCACTTTTTACTTGTAACATATGAATATAATTTCACTTATCACACTTTAAAAATCAGATATTTATGAGCACGTTGCTTGAGAACAGGTTAATCAACTTTGAAAATAAGTAATTCATTTATAAAACAACACTATCAAATTTGGTAAGACGTTCATGTTTTTTGTTCCCTTTTTAATTATTTTATTAGTATGTGATTTAAACGGCTTTGAAATGTCGAAAGAGGTATGGAAAGAAAATTACACGCGGAACAGCTTACGACGCGTTTCGAAGCTATCTTTTTAGCTGATGCTGAATTTCCCAACCGAATGACTTGCTCCATATCTCAGAAGATCGCGTCTCATAACTTCCAATCATTGTTCTTTCGAAGCTAATTTAAAACTTGGCGGGTTTCCCATCTTCATCCTTCTGTACGGACTATTGTTCGTAAATTCCATGAAAAATAATCTCGATTTCCATTCGTTTTCACCGGTAAGGCGTAGAATTTGTATTCATACTAATAGTCCGGTTGTTCGAAGCATAAATGTAGAGATGCGTTCGCTTGGTGCACCGCAACTTGTGTGTAATAGTGATCGCTTGTTCTGCGTACGCCCGGAATACCGTGATTCACATTTCATATTACAGCTGGGAATTACCGGCGATTACGGGATTGCCGAGTAAAATAGTGGAACGAGGACATGAAAAACGTAAGTGATTAAGCAACGTTTTCTGTAATTTCGCAGGTTTGGAATTAAAGAAAGTTTTAATCCGTGCGCGGAACACCGGAATCGAAGGCGAACATTCATAATAACCGGCGGTGTGTTCGAGAATTTGCACGAAAATAGTTTCCAGCTCTATTTCAGGTGGGCGTGTACTGCTTCCAAATAGCTGATCCAGTTTCTGATCACGCAGTGGTTAATGCGTTCATGACCACATTCCGTGAGCATTCGTTATTGACGTTTCGACGCGCGAACCGTGAACGTTTTTGACGACGCCTGTACACGTTCGCTGTGTACCGTAAACACATGCACCTGCGCGACATGCGTTTCTTCGACTTTATTTTATACTGTACTTCAGTTCTCTCAATGATTATGGGTATATTTCGAAGTAATATGTATCGTAAATGCGAAAAGAAGCAGTTGGTTTGAAACTAATCGGATAATAAATTCATCGAAAACTATAGATTCGTGATAATATATACAAATATACGCATAAAATTCAGAAAGTAAAATAAGTTTACGCTAATTGTCAGTGAATATAACGAAGGTAGTTAATCTAAACCTTTCTAATCCTTTCTAAGTTCATTCTAACGTAATTAGAAAAATAAATAAATTTTATCCCAATATAGATTAGTAATTTAAATAGTTTCTTTAACAAATGTATTAACTTGATATTTCTCTGAATGAATGAAAGAAAATTTTAATATGACGCTGTCATTCACATTTACTTACATTTTACAGTTTCTTTGAGAAATTCAAGATTTTTTTCGGTTTTACGAATTATTCTACTTTCTATTATTTAAATTAACTTTTTTAATCGTAAGGGAATTTATTCACATTATTACTGGTTCCACTGATTTTTATTAGAATGCAAGGAACTAACTTCCTTCTGTTTGCAAATCGCAAAATTTCCTTGCACAAGTTTCTTTATCTTTTTTCAGGAGTGACGTAAAATCAAGAATTCTAAGAATAATAAAATTGCGATAAAAATAATAAAGCTCTATACGAGCTATGTTGACATAACATTTTTATCTTATTTAGCGCCATAGAATATACTAACAAAATTTGAACCTTAAAATCTGCGACACACTGCTTATTATAAATATTGAACGATTAAAATATCATGTGTAACAAATATAAAAACTTACTTTGCGTAAAAATCTATACCCACCGCTTTACATGTAGTGGTTACATTTATGCTCTAGAATCTAGACGTTAAAAACCCTCTATATTCCATTTACCACGATCACATTATTTTAGCAGATAACGCGCACCTGCGAGAATCTTTCGCAACAATATTGGACCTTTCAACACGCACAGCTCAACTGCATAAAAGCTACCTGTTTTCGTATTTCTTCATCGAAGCATATAATGCATTCAGTTTGTACCGCGGCGAGAGAAGCTACACGCGTGAAACGTCCTTGCATTTGTCTATTATTCAGGAAGCATACGTAACTAGCTCTTACTTTGAACCTAGCCTACCCGTGCATCAGCATTTCCTGATGATCCGCTGAATTGTAAAACTCCGCCGGGCGGTATCCTCAATAACCAGTTCAAGGTGAACCGGACTTTCGAGCCGTATCAAACGGGGAAAGTGACCGTTCCCGGTGGTAGTATTTCCACTGTCAAGAATGTTTCAGCGCTGCTCCGTGTAGCAGTGTACCTTGGATCGCGAACTCGACCGTAGCCACGTACCTATTAGATCGCGTGTTTCGGTTCATCCGTATCACCGCGCGCGGTGGTCTCGTGTTACGTGGGAAATCGGAATTATCGAATAGTTATTGCTCATTACTATAACAATTGTTAGTTATACCAATGGTTTGTCACATGGTGCTGTTCCTAAGTTTGATATTTGTGTTCGGGTCCCTGCACTCTGCCAATGGAAGGGGCCTCGAAGTTGCTTTCCAGTGGAAATATTTGGACTGGACCTGGCCAAATGTTCCTCTCACGGAGAAGAACTTCACGTTGGGCAACGCGTTCACGCAGGATGTAGATGTCGATAGATCCGGACGCATATTTGTAACTAGTCCACAATGGTTGGACGGTGTACCGATCACATTGTCCTTGGTGTCAACTGCTTCGGGTCCTGGTGGTCCATTGCTGATTCCGTATCCTCACTGGTCCTGGTTTACACCGTTCGATTGCAACAGCTTAATTTCCGTGTATAGATTGGCGGTAAATATCGTGACTGCAACTGGAATTATTAGGGAACTAGGATTGTTATCGTTATAGGATGTTTTGATAAATTAAGGAGGGGTTTCATTTGGGTCTGTTGAACGTAAGTTAGTTTTAAGAATGAAGCACTGTAATACTGATTTTAGAAATTATTAATACATATGCAATTTTCCGAGGTTCACCTTCAAAAATGAAAAGAAATTTTATTATTTGTAGTTAAAATCAACGTTTTTATATCTTTTACTTCATTTTTACTGTTTATAAAGGTACAATCTTTCGAAAATTTCAAATTGATTTTCTCAAAGTATTTTAATATGCATAAGTTTATTGGTTTAAAAAACATCGTTTTAAGAGTAATTCATTTAAAACTTTACTAAAAATATTTCAGTTTTTTTATTTAATGGTTATCTGTAAAATTATATATGAATCTTCCTATCAGTTTTATTGATATTTCGCGTTGCTTCTTTGTGCTTTTGTTCTGTTTGAACAATGGTCACGCAGGATGCTCATTGTCAAACCCTGTATACTTGTATTACAGATATAAATAGGCACCATAAATAGGCATTATAGATATAAATGTTTTTTTAAATAACTATTCAAATGAAACTTTTACTTTATTCGTTACTTGCTCTGTTACTTTATGTTGGACAACGTTATTTGATACTCGTTAAATATCTTTACGACGAAAATAATTCTTTTTTATTGTAGCATGGAAGTTCTAAAACCACAAACTTCCTACGACTAGTGTTATCAGTGGTTTTTATTTTTAACGCAACGTCTATAACGCGACATTCTATTATAATTCTATTATTCTTTGAATTCTTGATTTTAGGTCACTCTTGAATATAAACTGTGGTTTCGTCGTTACAATTCTCCACTTTCGTTATCAGATTCAGTTGAACGACTATTTTAATCTCTTATTCTTAATAATGATCACGCAAGTCATTTATCTGATGAAGTGTTTGAATACCGAGTGTACTAAGAGCGAATAATTTCCAATGTTGTATCAATTAATTTATCGTATGTATACGAAAAACTTTTATTTTTTATTTTTCATCATTACATGAAATAACCGTTACTATTTGAAAATAATTTACCTGAATATTTCATTCGTTTCATTACATCCTTATTCGAAAATAAACTTGTTTGCTAGTTCATTTTCAATAACTATTTCTTCTGTGCGCCTGATATTTTCATTTCAAGTAAAAAATGCCCCACCCAGCTTTTGAATAAAGTATTAGTAAAAAAGTTGCGAAGCAAATATTGAACTGTATATTCGTATCACATCACTACTGCCATCCAAGTATGATTATTATTTCACGATCTATAACGAAGTACTTACACCCAGTTCCATTTTTACACAAATTTCATTCACATAATTTCGATTTAACGAATTATCTTTCGTTTACACAATTTCATTTGATTTAACACAATCGAATCCTAACATGAACTTTCATACGATCTATTGTACTATTTTTCTGATTTCTTAGGTCTAGAACGAATATCTTTTTTCATAGGTACACCATATTCTTTTTACACGAATTTTGTTTACACCGAACGTGTCTATCGTGCGAAATCAGAATTTCGTGTATACTAAAAATTATGCTAAACAGCCGAACGAAATCATCTGTTCAGATAGACGAATGCAATCGGCTATGGGTGGTGGATACCGGCAGGATTAGCAGTAAAGCTGTTTGCCCTACGAAAATCCTAATCTTCGATCTTGCAACCGATCAGTTGATCCATAAATACGTTGTGCCGGATGATCAAGTGCTGTTCGGGAAGGCAGCATTAGTTACGCCGATCGTCGATGTCGGAAAAACGTGTCTCGATACTTATCTATACGTGGCGGACGTGGATCAAAACGGGCTTCTGATTTATGACTTGTATCACGATCGCTCGTGGCGGGTAAACAATACTTGCGGCAACGCTTTCGGCCCGGATGACGATGCCATGAACATTACGATCGCCGGTGAATCGTTCGACTTGACTGACGGTACCTTAGGAATGTCATTGTCGCCGTACGGATTTTATAAGAAAAGGTACTGCCATTCATTACTTACGTACGTCGTTGTCACGAGAATTGTGTAACTGGTGATACAACGAAAACGTGATCATTCTGAATAAAAACGTGAATGCAGTATTAACACATTGTTGGCCGGTTATTATTCCGTAATTAAATATGAAAGAGACACGATATAAATGAGCTTCGTTATACTTTATTTATACATAATGAATTCAAATGAAACTTTCATATTCTTTGTATAATTTTGAATATTTTGCAATATTCTGTATTCCCCCACGTTTCAAAAATTGGAGTGGCTAATGCAGGTGCAAACACGAGTTAACACGTGACCGGTCGGCAATGTGTTGAATACAACAACTGTGTATATACATATTATTTTACTTTCCAGAAAATTAATTTTCTAAATTTATTTCATATTCATGAAATTCTACTTACAAGTGGAAATAGTAGGTGAACAAACAGACACGTTGGATAAATCCAGTACGATAGGACATGTACGTGTATGTCCAAAATTTCTCTATACGAATATAACCATAACGAAAAGAACTTCATTCTATTATAAAATCAACAGTTTTTCGTCTGTGCTACCAATTACACAATATTTATTATAAATATACGAATAAAGTTAACAACAGGGGAAACTACGATTTAGTATCAATGCTTGGATCTCACAGTTCACACGAAACAGATTATAACAGTATATTTTAAATAGCAATTACCAAGGAATTGCAACACCTAATAAATAAAACTTGATGAAATCACATAATATGGTATCATGATTGTGAAAGAATTGCAGTTATCAGCTTTTAATCTAACTAAGGCAACGTTACTTTGCACGAATAATTAATTAAAGATTGAGAAGCTCTTGAGATAGCGTAGTGAAATTACACAGTGCTATGTATATATTACATAATTGATTAAAGAAAACGATAACACTGTTTAAATTCACTTATGCAACCGCAAAATTGACGTTGCTTTACTACCGGCTGAACGCGATTAACTTTATCACGTAGGGTATATTATATTTCCCCCTGATCGGTTCGAGAGAATCAATTATTAACGCTGCAAGTGGTTTTCAGGTATCTGTACTTCAACTCTTTGGCTAGTTTCCTTCAAAAGTTCACGGACACGACTTCCTTGAAGTTAAGTCAATACAACGAGCCAATAGTGTACGAATCTAATTATAAAAGAGCGAGCCAGGCAGGCGTGCAAGCAACGTCTCGGAGAGGCGTGATATTTTTCCAATTAGTTCAGCTAACAGCGATCGCTTGCTGGAACATCGAGAAGCCGTTTGTGCCTGAGAACATAGTGATAATTGCGCAAGACGAAGCGACGCTGCAGTATGTGAGCGGCATCAAAGTAATCGTAGACAACCACGGCGAGGAAGAGTTGTGGTTCAATACGAACAGATTACAGAAAACGATAAATATGACTCTGAAGCCCAGTGAAACGAATTTCCGTATAATTAGGGGAAAGGTAGACGAAATTATTAGAGGCACGAATTGCGAGTCGACCGGCAGAAGAAACGAAAGGCCGGATATTACGTTCTGGCACCGGATATGAATTAGATACGTCGCATTATGTTAATCAAATACCCCTCGAAAGTTCGAAGGAACTATCCTTTCGCGGAGGATGGGAATATCTAAACAACCAAAATCAACATCATTTGCAGCGGAAACAGTCCATTGAACAGTGATGACGAAGGATTTATCTCAAGTAGTAAACCAAAATAATTTATTTCCTCTCTTGTGCATGCTATTATAAGAAACCGTTTGTAACTGTTTTTACGTAATTTATGAGAAATACAGCCTGTGAGATAGCTGTCATGTAAATATCACTCCTTTATTTGTAATTCATTTAAAAGAATATTGCTTGTCGAACAGTTAATGTGTCATTTGAAACCCATGCAACTCCGTTACACGCGTCGCTGAATTAAGACTAACAGCTTCAAACAAATCGTAAGCTATGAAAAAGAGAATTTTTGCTATATCATTTTTGTTCCTAAAGTCATTAAGGGCCGCGCCATCGTGAATGCTAATTCAATTGTAAACTAAGTTTTCTACACTCGACTGTTTATTTCATTCTTAATGGAAATCTCGTTTCAGGGAACATATTTTCGAAAAATCTCTTGAAACTTTCCTTACTGCAGTTTTTACTCGATACCACTTTTCTCCTTTGAAACTTCCCTAACTTCCTTATCTTAATGAACTTCGGCGTAAACTTTCCGAAAAGTTTTCCGAAACGTTAAATTCAAAAGAGGAATATAATTAAGAAAGGAAACAATGTTTCGACCCGTTAAATGGGAATAACCCCTCAAACCCCCAACAGTTTTATCCGCCTCGGTTCACCATCGACTGCTTTCGACAGAGAGAACAAATAACCGCATTAACGACTTCGATTACTTGTTTTTGCGAAAGTAGAGCGTACGGTAACCGAACGCAGAGGATTGTTCGGATATCGCCGAGAGAATAAGCCGCGGGAGAAGTAAGGGGGAGTTCTGCGAGTGACAGCCAGTGCGCAGCAATTTAGTTAACCGTTTCATTGCTGCCTTTTGAGATGTAACGACGAGGCCTGTCTGTGACAGAAGCGTCACCGGGAACCTAAATGTTTCGATGGGATGCTTGCACCGAGACTCAGAACAACGAGGCCAGAACGGCTAAGCGTCGTTTGGGATGAGATCAAGTCTACACCAAGTAATATCGATACCATGCGGAAAATGATCAAACCCTTTAACCCTTTGGCCTACGATCTATTTCTCGACTATGATCGATACAACTACTTTGTCATTAATAATTTATTAAGGAGAAGTATAAAATGATAAGTATATTCTATATCAATCTTCACTTCAACGTATAATAATTTATAACAGAAGAATAATATTTCATTTGAATTCGAAAGAATCGAGTAACATGCTTATTCGATTTTGTTTAAAACCTTCACGAGCCTGACACGTTATTGTGAGACAGCGGTTAATGGGCGCTTAGGATAACGAGACATGTCGAAATTAATCGGAGCTTCATGAATTATGTGTGGTCCTTTCATGAAAACACTGGCAAGTACTTGTACTTAAATAAAACAGAAATTGAGTAAAATATATCTAAACTTTTCATAGGTGTGTGGAATATTAAAGCTCCGTGTTAACGAATTTTTATCATTAGACTGTTAGTAGGAAATAAGGAAATATTAAGTTAACACAAGCACTAGAAAGAAATTATATTATTAATATCCGATTTAACACTTTTATTTCTAATCTGTGTTTTTTTCTAACCACAGGGTTTGCAGATTTGAAAATATTTTATCAGGTGGTATAGATAACTGTGCGATAGAAAATTAATCATTTATAATATTTGAAAACGGATAGTAACATTTTCAAACCAATAGATCTGTGTTACAGACTATGTACTCTGGAACTAAACAATTTTTAGTTTTTTCAGTAACAGTAGCTGAATTATATGTAGGAGGTACCAAAGTACTTTTGAAATTGTGACGTCTTTGTTAAAAGATGTTCAAACAAGATTGTTTGCATTAATAATATCCGTCTGATATTGCTATGCATATTGAGTATGTGTAATCACTGGTATCCTGAGAAAATATTTACTTGCCGTCTATTCTCGAAGAACATACACATCGCAGAATGTATGTAATCGTTATGCATTTTATTATGTAGACTCATAATATTGTATTGAATTTTCCTATACAGTAATGATTCTCAAGAGGAGCTGAATCACTTCAAGTCAGTATTATTTGGTTATTAATAAAATAACTCACATTTTTAATATACGCTAAGTAAGTAATATACAAGAAGAATTTAAATTCAACAATCACTCATTTTTGAAACCAAACTTATTTATGTTTAATTATTTATAAAGTGTTTCATAAAATGGTAATAAATTTTGTGGGTAACATATAAATCTTCTGAGTTTAATTAAAAGTTTTGAAATAAATTTATTAAACAACTGTTATAAATATTAAAATTGTAATCTATGTAATAAAATCTATCTTTACTTATAATTTACGATAAATGAACTGGAAAAGCTTTACCGATCGTTTTAAAATGAATTGCATGACAAACAATTATTAAAATGATTAAATATAAATAATACAACAAAGAACATTTGTTCGTACACCATACTTACCTCCTATAAATAATGATTGTTTCGTGTTAAACATTTCCTCCCAACCTCAATTCTAATATAGACGCGTTCAAAGTAAACATCTATTTTTAATTTTTAATTAAAATTAAAATCCAAGTGATGCAATGAATTAAGAATTCCATCATCTACCAGAGCCTTTTATAAAAATTTCTCTCGATACGTGTCCCAATGTTCTTCAGCTTGTACATATTCATTACTTAAATTGACTGCTGAACTAAAACATTCCCAAAAACTACATAAAACGTATAATTTCTGCAAGACACGTTAAAAAAGAAACGTATTCCTACAATGTTAAGTAACGTCAATAGCTGGAAAAAAGTGAAATAGCTGCCGGGTTTAACGCTTTTCACACAATGGTAGCAACCAATGTGTTAAAGATTCTATCTCAATCACACCTAGAAAGCATAAGAATCATCTCTCGACCGGCCCCCGTTAAATTTACGAGTACATATTGAACCCGATCCCATCACAAGGCATCGCGGCGGGATTCTTCCCCGGATATCAAACCCGGTATGCCGGGGCCTTTTCTTGCCGGCAGCAATTTCAAGAAGTTTTATCAGCCTTCTGGATACCGGCGAGGTCGAGGCAGAGGTTGAGCGTAGGGACAAGGTGGGAGGCTGGTCGAGATAAATGCGCATTCACGGGGAATTGTTCGTGTTACTGCCGCGCGCGGCACTTTCGGGATACCAATAGAGCGCGCAATGCCGGGAAATTCGTGTCACCTACTTCTCTTTCTACGGCGTAGTTCGGCGTGTGACTAATGGCGGCATATTCATGGCACAGCCTCGGCCCCTCTAGCTCCCCTCGGCGCTACCCGATCCCGCCACCCTTTCGCGAAGCTTTGGCAGTTAACCTCAGACAACCCCTTCGTCGCGATAATATACGGCTGCCCTTAAATTTTCGTTCCCCATCGGCCTACCCCCAAAACTTCAACATCAGCCTATCCCCACGCAACACCGGAAAATCCGGGGCTCGCGCGCGCGTCGCGTCGCCCTGACGCCCGACCCGATCCTCGCGCTTATTCCATCGAGAAAAAGATAGATCCGTTTCGGAACTCGAATAAAAGTTTATTCACGGTTAGTGCGGTTAATCAGCGCGGGCATAAAGAGGGAACGATAACAGCGCCCGTAAAAACACGGTATACCGTTCAATATTCTTTTTACGCGATTTCGTAAAGTAGAGCCGACTGAGTTATAGCACCGTTCAATATACTATCGTCATATCGGGGTATTATAAAATATTGTGACTCCGAGCCAGCCGGAGGCCGACCGTGTAAGGTTGTATAACGGTTGACCGCGAACGATCCATGCGAGAGCACGTTTTCACGATCGAACTCGTTACCTTAAGGGTTCGACGTGGAATTACTTAAGAGGTGATAGGCGTCGTCGCTAAAGTCTCCCGAGGACGAGTCTACGCGGCGCGCGGGCGCGAAGAAAGGGTCTGAAATCGTTTTACGAGGGTACTTTTAAAACAACTTTACGAGAACACCGCGGAATTTTGAAATAAATTTGCATCAGTTTTACTGCCTCTAATATACATAACTACCAGTGTTTGGCACTGATACTCGCGCGTACGCCGGACGGCTGCGCGCCATTGCACCGGTGCGTCGTCCTTTAAGCGGCAGTTAGTGTTCGTAATGCGATACGAGACATCTTCCGGAGAAGAAAGGACGCGAGTAGCTTTGTCCGAGGCACGGTAAACTTTCCTTTTCCGATGATTGCGGTAATTGCCGGGGGAGGGGCGATTCTTATTTCATTCACACGAGTCACACGAGAATTTCTTACGCAACGCTTAAACGCGAACGATCGCGCGTCGTTACATAAAAATTCAATTAAGAACGGTTAAACAATTCGCCGAGAAACAGGGTCAGGACTTTCGAGCGAAAGAATGTTTCCCAATTAAGGGGAAAAGCGAAGGAGGGACAAAGCGGGGTCATTTTACGTACCGTTTCCCTGGGAATGAAATTTTAAAATTTAATCGCGAAATTAACCGCGTATTTCATAGTCACGGCTCTCCTAGTGAGCACGATAAATTACTTGTTTTTCTCTAATTCTGCCGGTCTCCGCGTGCTTCGAATGAACAGCCTGCCGTCGCGCGGCGTTCCGGATCGGAGAATGTAGTGACATTTTCTGTAATTTCTGAGTCATACAAGGTACCAGAATGAAATTACCTCTGAAAAATTCAAAATATAATTTGAGTTTTCAGATGTCGCATAATTCAATGTGTTTTATCATTTTTAATTGCTGTTAATCTAATACCTTAACTAATACTTTTGTAGATAATTTAAATGGCAATACAAACAAAGTCTAGCTTCTAGATTAAAAGCAATAATATTCTTGGAAATTGTAGAGAAAGTTAATGTAATAAACGTCTACAACACCTTATACTTACAAGTAAATTAAAGTACAACATAAGTGCAAAATATAAAATTAAATGTGAACCTAACAAAGAATTTAACTAAACGCAAAGTAAACGTATTAAACAATTTTTGTAAGTTTTGTAATTTTATCGAGTATTACCGTTTAGTACACAGACAAACATTCAGTTCATAATATTCCTTTTCGGAGTTAATGAACATTCAGGCAGTAGCACAAACTCTATTCCAGATTTTTCATCGGAATATCACTAAATTCTCCGATCATCATCACTATGCGCCGGGTAGAAGACAGAAGCATGAAACACGATCACCGCGCGCTAGCGTTTCGCGAAAGCGTTCCCCGGCTACCACCGAACGAACTCACGTGGTATCCGTTTGCAATTCGAAGGAAC